ATCTACATGTTGTCATACATCTGGTATCACAGAGCAATCAGCCTTGGATTCTCCACTGCACAAAATTGGATACCCAACTGCACAAAAACAGCTATGCCCCAAATGGCATCCTATGTCCAGACAGAAGGGGTCTCAGCCAATTATCTTGATAGATGTACATATATTAATGTTTTTAAAATTTGTCTCAAAGCCATGGCATATGAGGACAATGACCACAAGTAAATCAAGACTCAAGTGTCCACACAGAACTGTCTCTCCAACACTGTGTTTTATAACAGGTCTGACTACTGTCTGTGACTTTGCAAAATACTAAACACAGCCATTTCTCTGTCTACCTACCCTCGATCCCACTGGTGGATAGATCTGATTCCCTGCAAATGTGAAGTGACACAGCTGCACTGACATCAGTGACGATACTTCTCTTTATTACAAATACTAGTCTGGCCCTCCTACTTTCACAAATGCCCCTAAGGGGACTACATGAAAAATAAAGCTTGGAAAAGTACAGAGCTATGACTAGGGAACAGCCCATGGCACAGATGAGAGGACAGTAGCCATAAAGAGCTTGAATCCAGATGTGAAATTCTCCAATTCTCTATTTCCTATGTGAAGCAAGTTAACTATTGGGTCAACCTTGTCCATAACACACAGACTTCTAAGGACAGCTCCACCCAAAGATCTTTGGGAGCTATTTACTTAGAGCCATGCAAACATCTGTATATCTGACAAAAGAATGAAGCAAATTCCACCCTTTGTGCAGCTATCCAGGGCCACTGCAGCAGGCAGAGCAGGCAAGCAGACTGACATGCCAGGACTAGCCATGCACAAGTACTTCATGTGTCCAGTGAGCATGGAGACCTCAGCTGCAGTTTCATCAGTGGAGCAGAAGGTATCACATCCAGAGACAGCAGAGGGCACAAAACTGACCTCAAACATAGTTTCAGTGGAATGTGGTATCTTCAATTCCTTCCTAGGTTTCAAGCAACTAAGCACTTTCCTGTGCAACCTACTACAGGGAAACTGTTTTTTAGCAGGAGAGTTGGACTCGATGATCTCCAGAGGTCCCATCCAAACCCTACAATTCTGTGATTCCGTGAAGAGATGCATGAAATTCATATTGAGCCCTCAAGCTATTAAACGCCTACTGCACAGAGCTACATCTCTCTCTGAGCTTCCACAGTCAACCATAAAGGTAACTGGGCTTTGGCCATGCAGAATTCCCACAGATTTCAATGGGAATTTCAGTGTTCCAATCTGGACTCCAAGAATGCAGCTTTGGACCCAAAACTCTGACTGCTGGAGCCACATTCAATATCAGCGTCTGGCAACACCCATTTGTGAAACAGTGATTCATTCACAGGCACAACTTTAGAGGGACAGACAGGATGACTTCAATCATACATTTCCATTTCATTAACAAAACTCAGTAAAACCAGATGAGCATCCTGGATGATAATAGTTGGTATTAATGTAATGACTGTAGGGATCCACTGCCATAGTTAAGAATAGTTTTATATCATACAGAATGCACTGGTTTAATTTGGTTCAAGAGCATAACAGTTAATGGACTCCTGCAGCTAAGGACAAAATTGTTTAAATGGACACCATTTTCTTTTTTCTTTTTTTTTTTTTTTTTCCTGAAAATACTATACATGAAAATGAATTATAGAAAGTAATTTGAAAGAGACAGATCTTCAAAAGCACCTAGGTGACCTAGGAGTCTAGGATGCCAGATAAATAAGCTGCCATTAGCACTTTACATTCATTGTAAATAAGGGAGCAAGCAGTTTGTGTAATGGTCCACTAAGGGAGCGACAAGTAATTCAGACAGCACCTTTATTCAAGGTGCTCATCTGTTATGGCTGCACAGTCCTTCCTAATGGCTATCTGGGTTTCCATTCAAACACAGTTTTAAGTCTTTCCGTCCAATATTACTGTATATCAAGCCTCAAACTTGACAGAAAGCATCTGAAAACACACTGTGTGGTAAAGCTGGAGTTTGGCACTGGGCTTTTACTGAAGGGCTTTCTTAAATAGAACGGGCAGTGTTTTGGGCACTGTTTTTCTGGATCAGCATGTTTGGCTAACCAGTTTAACATATTCAGGGTACACTTCCATGGCAGCTTGCAAGCAGATGCCAATTCCCTCTGCACGTGCTACAAGATGCCCAGATATAAGCTACCTCTAATCTTAAAGCATGTAACTGCAACCCTGTAACATTGATCCCAAACTAACATATTCTGCTTCTCAGCAGGACTTGTTAGTACAGGCTAAGCCACATGCTAATCATGGCTATGCAGCTTCACATTCAGAGCCAGTTTTCACCCAGCCAGCTTGGAGCACACACAGAGTGAGTTCATATCTGCCTGCAAAATCCTGAGTAGACATATCTTCAGTGACTCAAGCAGCTAGAAGTAAAAATGAGGGATGAATCTTGTGTAATATTCTCACAGTCCACTAAAAGGCTAACCTTGCTCGGTACATAGAGGAGCAAGTCAGAGTATGGTAGCCTGCTTTCCTGTCTTGATATGATAACTCCTTACTTTGTGTACCAAAGCTCTTCCTCACTGACACTTCTCCAGCTTCATTCCAAGTCCTGCCTCTCTTAGAAGGCTAAGTGCCCTTCTGCTTGGAGACATGAGTTCCTTCAGGATTTGCCTCCACATGAAAAATGAAAGCAACACATACCAAACAAAACTCCTCTTGCTAATTTCCTAATCTCCTCCCAGACTCTGTAGGATAACAAGTGCTTCTCTAGATCCCCAAGGAAAACCAGGACCTCACAAAATATACCTACACCTAAGCTGATGATTTAAATTCTGTATTGCAGCCTGAAAGCTCTCTGGTTAAAGTCATGGCAATCAGCCAAAGCATGTTTTTTTCCTCCACAGTCCACACAAATCCAGTAAAAAAGTTCCCTCTGTCATAATGTAACTTCACTGAAATTATAATTAAGCTTTTTGTATCCTAGCAGGCCATTCATTTAACAAAGAAGCTTAGAAAGCAACCATTGGTTTTCCAGTAATACATTCATCCATATTTCTTAGCATTCACATTAGTATCTGCTGTTTTTCTATTATTCATATTTTAAAGTCATAGAGATAATTTATCTAGATTTACAAACACCTCAGGTAACACCAATCTGGAAATATACTATTTTGAATCTTCCATCACAACTGCAGATTCTACATGCATTCCCACTTTTGCATAACTGTGCATTAAGTCACCTAAATTTGATTTTTCAATTTCCAGTTTACTTTAGATAGAGCCTGCATCAGCTGATCCAATTCAGCAGTCTCTTTGGGACCTTGTGAACACAACTCGGGATAAAATAGCAATTAATACAACACAGAATTGTCTTAAACAATGTCTAGAAATGCAGTCCAAGTTAGAAATAAAAGTCCACAGTCAAGGCACAAGACTTGGCCTACAGACTCCAACACATATGTTTATCTGATCCCCTGGAGGCTGGACACAAGATTTATCCTAACTATAAGAAAAAGAAGCAGCAAACTAAGGTTCACTGAAACCGCCATCCTACTGTTCTAGTATTCAGGCCTGGGAACAGTTAGCCAGAATACTTCTGCTGACCTCAGCTTCTGGGATAGTTCTTCCTTGTTTAACCTTGAATCTTTCACATACACATAGAGATAAACACCCAAAGTTCTACATGCTAAGACTTATGCAAACACATTTTGTGCCAAAGAGCATAGGCCAATAACCTGCAAAGATCCACACCCACACAAATTGCACAATAGACCACACGTATTTGGGAGTGTGGCATTTGCCTATCACTAAAAATTATCAAGCACCAGTCATTTTTCAGAATCAATTTGCTGGTCTCAGTGGATCAGTTACACTGCATTTATTCTTGCCTTAAGCAATACCTTCTATGCGGGTCATTCATACCAACCTGGGAGCTCACCCAGATCCTTCCCTCACCGTTTTCCAGGTCCTCAAGCTCAATAACATTTTATTCACCAAATAGAATTCCTCTGAAACCCTAATTTCAACTTCATCCCTTCATCCTGAAGAGCTGCCAGAGGCATAGAGAGCCTACTCCACAGGGATTCCAAATTCCATAGTCCACTGCAGCCCAACACTACATGACTGCAAATCTTTCAAAAGAAAGAAGAGACTCCATAAAACACCATCAGACATCTTATATTTCAAAATGTAAATTTATACATAAGTTGTAAACTCTTCAAACACACACACTCAGCTAATGCACAGGTCTCCTCTGATCCTCAAAGGCTGAACAACAGGCACTTCACTATTGCCCTGTAAGCTCTGATCCACTAGCTGATGAGTGGATGGGGTCCAGGAAAACCAGTACTCCTGGCAAGAGCAACAGAACTTTTCTCCTAATTCTACCACGTGCATAGTAACCAATGCACCATTTAATTGACACCCTTAGTTATTTCAGAACAGGTAGAAAAAAGTGGAGCTGAAGAAGTAGCCCCTGAACTGATCCAGAATGCTAAATTAAAAGGTATTTTGTAAATTTTCAACTGCTATTGGGAAGGCCCAACTAACAATCCAGATAATCTCAAAATAATAACAGCCCTTAATCTAACATATATCAGCAAATTCCTGTTTCGCCCTTTTCTAGCAAAAATAACAACACGTTAGTTGCCAGTGCATTAATAAGATCCTATTTCTGCTCCAAAGACTGAATAGAACCTTTGTTCTTCACAGCAAAGGATTAAGAAGGTTGCTATTTTGGTAACAAGATGTGGTAGAGGTACTTACTTTGCAGCTGAGATCCAGACTGGATGACTGAGAAAGGAATAAGCTCTGTTACCTCAGATGAACTTATCAGCCTCGCTTAGCGTGATGCATATAATTAACAATAAAAGAGAGACTATTAATGAATAATTACAATTTAATACTGTTTAAGCTCATTTACAAAATGTGCCCTATGTTGTACAGAAAAACATTAATGTAACTTTATAAGATGGCAACATGTACAAACATATTACATAAGAAAAATTACTTACTTTCTAGGTAGATTATTGGTCAGTTGCTTCCTTTTTTCCCACTTTATTTCTGGGTACCTCACCTCTTTTAACAGTTCATCATAGAGAAAATCTGTCAGAAAGTGCCACAAGAAAAAAGAAGTGTCAGAAAAACAGCACATGGACAGAAACAAATGAGAGAACACTCTGAAAAGAAGATCAAATCATAGGACGCAGATCCAAGTGCTGAGGCACCAAGATGATTGAGAAAACTGTTTGTGAGGCTGGAAAAGGAAGCAGTGACCTGTGAAAATGAAAGCAACTTCATGAAAACATTAGTCATGTCAAAAATATGTTGTTTATAGTTATTATAACAACATTTTTATTAAACAAACTTGTTTAGTGTATAAAGTTGTTGTAAGTAAAACATTTCCAAAGGACTAGGGTAGGTAAGGCAGTGTGGTTAAAAACTGGCACCACTTTTAATTACACAGGGATTAACTTTTTGCACTTAGAAATGGAAATGCTTGGGGCTCACATCAGAGGAGGTCTAAATTTATAAATCAAAAGTATTATTGTAATAAAATCAAGGAGAATCTTCAAATACAGCAAGCAAAAACAGAAGTGAAGTTAAACAGAGCCTTGATATCTCACTTGTATCCTGCCCATTGGCCATTGACATGATAAAGGACCTTGAAAACATAACAAAAATGAAACAATTTACTTTTATTTCCACTCCAGCAGGGAAGTTGTATGAATAAATATATTTTTTTAAGGACTACCATGATGAAAAGCAATTCCAGAAATGGGCAGAATGTCAGCAGGAAATATATTCCATTGGTCATAACTGATATCCTGTGGGAATGCTGTTTTACATCCAAAGAAACTCTCTTATATCTCCTTCTCTAAGAAATAGTAGGAATAGGACAGTAAAAATCCACAGAGGTTCAGATATCTCTGGCAATACAGGTGCCAGATATCGCAGGGAAACAAACCTTACACTTGAGTTTTGTCTGCATGACTCACCATATGCCTACTACCTCTTCAATAATTTTTGACACAGTCACCAATTTCAACCATATCTGATAAAAGCAGACACCTCAAAAGTAATTATAATCCTAGCAGGAAGTAGGAAAGTAGTTGTATTGGTATATAGAATGTCCTTACTACTCCTTCTAATAAGGAAAGTCTTCAGCGTAAACATACACTACTAGGCCTTCAGGGAATCCACTAGTACTGAACAGTTAGGAATTTCCTAGCCAGTGGAAAAGCTCCAATTGGAGCTTGAGTCTTGTTAGAAAAGCAGACAGCCTAATATCATAGGAAATTAGACCTTATTCAAAATGGGACTTTATTCATTCCAAACTCAGGGAATCACAGTTTTCCAAATAAAGAGTGCTAAAGAAATTGTGCTTACAAGCTTACATTTGCAGGTAACACTTTAATAAAACTTGAAAGGATTTGGGCTTGATGCAGACGTGATAAATCAAAATTGTAATGTGAAGGAAGTGAGAATTTCAAACAGTCCCCTCTCTTGAGTTTACAGAACATGTTGATTCCCTTTCAGATCTTTCAGCAGGTTAACTAAACAAAATATCTATTTACAGCATAAAAAGGGATTGAGTTCTTCAAGGATTGCCATTTGATTATCAGTGCAAAGTAATGACAAGTTACAGAAGGATCTACATACTGAAGCTTCCCGTGTTTGTTCTCCCAGTATGAAAAATAATTGCAGATTATAAAATAACTTCCTCATGGAATACTTGAAGAATTTGCAGCATAGTTTTATTTTCATATCATCATAGAAATGCTTTGAATCTCAAATTATAACCCTCTCTGCAGAGCCTTAAGGGCCCCAACCATGCAGCTTGACCCATACTGGTGCAACTCTGACAGATCTCTAAGACAGATGCACTTACAGAAAAAAAAGAAAAAAAAAAAGAAAAAGAAAAAGAAAAAAAAAGAATCTTATCCATGCAACACTGGTTATTCAAATCTTATTACAACATATTAGCATGTAGCAGATTCTGCAGATTTTGAATTCAGATCCCTAACATTTAGGTAACATTTTAGCCACCTAAAAGAAATTCTTTGATTTGACTCCCTGGAGGAAAAGGTATTGTGGTTGAATAGGTAACTCTGGATGTGGCAGTTTATTTTGGAAAAAAAAAAAAAAAATTAAAAGAAAAAGAAAATTTTCAAAATCAAATGCTACCATTTTAGTTTTGGGAACTCAGATGAAAATTAACATCTTCCATGCTTTAGCTTTCTCTTTGACAGCTGACCAGCCCTAGCACATGCGCAACTGACCCATAACTACAGATAACAACTGGACTGACATGACAACTCCTGGAGAAGATAAATATTCAGCTGGATGAAGACTGACATTTATATTTCGTTTCTAAAAATGCCTTTTGAGTTCAGATGGATGGATGGATGCATGCATGCATGTGTATATGCATTTTTTCCCCTCTTTTACAGTACATAAGTCTTTTTACAATCACCTGAAATGCTTTCTCACTGTACATAATATAACTATGGAATCAGGCATTTCTGTGGCCTTCTATGTTTTAATTATATATTATCTCAGACTTGAAGATTTAGAAGTGTTAAAAAGGCCCTCTGTGCTGAAATAGTGTAGTCAACAGCAGTTGTTTCTACTGCATATTTAGTAAGATGCTTCAAGTCTCACTAGCCCCAGTAAGTAGGAAGAACGTCATATTAAGTCAAAAGTTACACAAACATATCACTCAATTTTTGTGAGATAGGGCCAGTGTTCCAGACACCAGCTAGATCTTGTAGTACTTTAAGAGCAAGACAATGGAAATTAGACAACTACAAACCTTATGACCTTTTAGAGATGCTGCAGAGGGGATGCAGTTGTGTTCAGAAGGTTACAGAGTTGACAGATGGACAGATCAAGGCATTGGGTGCTCCCCTCTGTATCTACCAAGTGCACTTGCATTAGGGTGAGAGATTGGCAGGAGGCATTCTAAATCCTTCCCTTAAACAGTCACAGTATAATCAGCAGGTGTTGAGAGTGCCAGACTTGCTGAAAATTAAGACATGGTTGTCTCAACTTGGACAACTAGATTTCGAAAGAATTTTTGAAAACTGGAGCCTGCAGGAAAATGAGGGTTAGAGCAAAGCTGTCCTAGCTCTCAGGCCTCACACAGAGGCAGTTCTTTTGACTGTAGGACTCCTTTTTCCCTCACTTCCCCTATTCCTCTGCAGGGAGGTGGGGCCAAAGGGAGGCATTTCAGCCTTCAGAAGACCTTTATACTGTATTAAAAATACAGTTTCTTTAATGTTTCCTTTTTCAAAAGTAGTAATATAAACTAACTGAGTGTGCTCTTAGGAGAGCTGTTGGCAAGGGTATGGGATAATCCTCTGCCAAACCTCATCTTTGGCATGAAGAAATAAACAGACTGTGGTTCTGCATAAAGACAAAACTTTTTGGAAAGCCTTTAAAATATTTCTCATAATGAAACAGTGGGAGGGTAGTGTTCTTGAAATTCAGAATACTCTCCAATCGACAAATTCAACCTTTAAATGTTTTGGGCTCTTCAATTAAGAACTGAGTTCCTTCATTAAAAATAAATAAATAAAATTGAAATAATTCAGTGATATATGATGTATATGCTCTGATTTTAAACAATCCTCAGAAAGGCTATTTTCATACCATTTCCTTTGTCCATAGCAAATATGTTGTGCCAGATGATAGGAATTAAATTATTCTCATCACCCTATATTAATGACAAGAACATTGAGATTGAAAGGTAACGTGTTCTGCCTAAAGCCATAAAGGAACCAGTGCTCAGAACAGCACTGCCAGATTAACTTGCTCTAGACTCTGGCTCTGCGCTTCTTAATCATGTTCCCCCTCCTGATATCTGAACAAGAATACTGTCAAAAATATAGGAGAAAAAAGCTGCAGCCTTGGATTTTATTTCAAGGTGCTCTCAACCAGTCTCCGATAGTAAACTGGAAGGCAATGAAAATTATGCAGAGAATTTAGAAGAAAAGCAATCAGAGTTTTTGAGAAATATTTCAGCAAATTTCTCATTAACGTTACACTTTAGAGAAAAATAGAGAAGTCAGCTAAGAGCCAAGAAGCCTAACACCGTTATATTGTTTTGGTTCACTACGTGAAACACAACTGGTGTTTTAAAGAGTAGATAAACCTTCCATATTTAACAAATGAAGTTTATCACACATAGATCTGAAACACACTTAGATGAAGTTTCTGTATCCAAAAGGCTACTATGCTTTGCCAATACACACAGGATCATGTTGGACTGCCCAGTGTATCATGAGTGTTGTTAAAAGAAACTGAATACTTTAAGAACATTTTAATAGTGTTCCTTTTTGATTTTGGGTGGAAAGGAAGACTGTCTTTTCCTTTTCAGGATTATTTTTTTCTAAGTACATTTCTAAATCCCACTTAGTTTTGTTTAATTCCAGCCTTGTAAACCCTTTGTATGTTTCTCTCTCTCGAGTCTATTTAAGCACTATTATATCTCACCTTCCAGCAAGGATGTTGCTGTATCGTTTCTTTCTTTTCTTTCAGAAACCAAGTCTCTTTGCACAGTTTGTGAATTTCTCCCGTCTACACAAAGGTCTACTGCTGCAGGCCACATAAAGACTTCAGCATTAATAACTTATACAAACTCACAAAGTTCTCTGCTTACTCCAGCTGTTATCTCTGTACAAGATTAATTCATGCCAAATCTTCAGCTTATCTCCGTAATAATGATAATAACAAAAAACGTTTAAATACAAACACCAAAATTCTGACATCACCATGGGACTGTTCAAACTGGAAGCCAAGAACCTGCCTCAGTGTGGAGCTTGACATTAGTCAGTCAATTTGAGAAAAAGGACATACCTCATCCACACAGCCTTCCAGTAGAGCTACATAGTTGATATGTTTTCAAGCACCTCCCTGAAAGAAGCAGTGGTTTAGCCCAAAGCTTCAAGAATTTCACTAAAGAATGTACCAGTATCTGGTTATGCAAAGGCCTTTGGTTGAAGAATACATAAACTTCAAATACCACTGGGGCTTGTGGGTTGAATTTTTTGGGGTTTTGAGTTTAGGAATTTAAGTCACATCTTACTGTGAGAAAAAGAAAG